GATCGTGGGTATAGACAGGAAATAATTAAGGCTGCGCAATCGTTCCGTAAATTTCCGACAACGGACAAAAAATTTATGGATAATTTATTTCGTGTTGTGGGTGTTTTAAATACAAATTCGTTTGAAGCACCATGTAGGGTAGGACCGCATGAAATTTTAGTACGTGGCTTATTTCCGTTAACTGCAGTTATGAACCATGAGTGCACCCCAAATGCGAGCCATTATTTTGACAATGGACAAGTGGCAACGGTGAGAGCGGCACGTTTCATACCCAAGGGAACTGAAATCACCACGACATATACAAAAATCCTATGGAGTAATTTGACTCGTAATATTTTTCTAAGAATGACAAAACATTTTGAATGCAACTGTTATCGCTGCAATGATAACACCGTAAGTGAGAAAATAATAGCAAAATATTCACTATAAGTGTATGTAAACCTACGTTAAAAAAATCGATTTTTAAATATATGTATTACGGGTTAGATTTATATATATTACATATATAACCATTTATAATAAATTTTTATCTGAAGCATTTAATATCGAACACTGCTACTTCAAAGTAATTGCTAAATATTAAATATTCAATCAATTAAGCTATCTATTTCAGTGTATAAATATCTGATAACAGATTATGTTATGATATACGTAGATTGTATATAGATAATATGTAGATAGATAATATATCAGTAAAAAATAGGTATCAATGCTTACACAGGCTGTTTTATAAAATGATTTACCTTGTTGGCTTATATGTTTTAACTGTCATAATTATAAATGTATTATGCAAATTATAATTAGTAGGTAGTAATTATAACTACTACCACACATTATATTAGAATAGATCTTCAATGATTGTTTAGAGGCTGCAATATCAGTCTTATCTATATAGCAATTATCAAACATAATCTTAAAATTTGCAAATATTCTATAATGATAACTAAAATTATACTTATAATTTAATAATATTACATTAAATTATTATACCAATTCAATATTTATTCCTCATATATTAGTTCATTCATTTTCAGCAAAAATCCTTTAAAGAAAACATAACTTCCATTAACTTAATTCTGCATTTTTAATAGAGAAATAGAGAATGCTTACCAAAAAACTAAACGAAAGCTAAATTTTTACAATAAATTTATTTTTGTGGTTCTGATCCCGAAGAAATCTCGCAAGTCCCCATATAAGTGAAGACCAAAGTGAGCCTTTGAATAAGTTGCAGACGATAAATAATTACAAAAATTAGTTCTTCTTAAAAATACCCTTTAAACGTCACTTTAAATAAAATAATGGTTGTTATTTGATTTATAGTTCAGGAAATCGTGTATTAAAAAATGCGAAACTATTTTTAAGATATACTAACGATTTTTTAAAAATATTTAATTCCAAAAGTTGCAACGGTTTTATTTCTTATGAAAAGTGCATTTTATTCTATAGACTCTTTGAGTTAAAGGTCAAGGTAGGTTAAGTCGTATACCCAATTTGCATAATCCACACCTATTTGTATATTAAAATTGATATAGAAAATAAACAAGCGATTATTAGGGTATTATTCCTTATTACGGCACTTCTGTAGATCACGTTTCAATCTCTATATCTCTCTGTTTACTACAGTAACTTCCAATATCAAGAAGCTTCCAATATCGCTAGAGAAACATAGCATTGTTATATTTTGGTAAAACTTCGCAAAATAAAAAATGGAAGATTGGGTATCATTAAAACTAAAAACATCAGTCTTCTGTTATCTTTAAGAGTATTGGCATATTTTTCAGTTTGAACACCCTATAACTTATACCTCAAGCAGTTTTGGTTTATAGCAATAGTGAGCACGTTTAGTTTAGGTATAGAATGTCACTTCTAGACTAGCTTAGTGTTAATGCTTAAGCGAAATAGTTTCAGCTTTGTTTAAAAACATATACATATACCTATGTAGTGCATAAAGAAGAATACAAAAATAATTGTTTCTTGTTACTATGTTATTATTTATTTCACTTGTGCTAATATACTTAAGTATAGACTTAATTATAGGTTTAATTCAATGATTTGATTAGTAGTTGTAAATGTACTTAAAGCTCAAATATTGATGTAATTATTTATTGTTTTATTTGACAAACAGACCAAAACTAAAAAAAGTAAGAAGGAAAAGAACTTAAATAATTAAAGCAAATTGAAAAGAATTTATTTCTTAGTCGAGTCTGAAATGTACTTAAATAACTACGGCAGAGAGAACAGCTGACGCATATAGAATTCTTGTTAATGCAATTTGCATAAATTTAAAAGCCGAAAAGCAAAAGCTGCAGACCTTGTATCTTCATACAAATGCCCTCATGCCAAAATGCCCTCATAAATTAGCTACAATCAATGTACAAGTGTCGTAAACCAAAATAGAATGGCAATCAACCTTGCCCCGCATTCGAAAAGTCTGCAGTTCAAAATGACGAAACCGACGAGGTTTATAAAGCAGAAACTAGAAAAAAATCTATAAACTTTCAAAATTTCACTGCATATTTTATCTTAATTAAATTATCAACTAAAAAACTACAAATACAATATCTGTGGACGTTAAAGACTATATCTCCAGTAGGTAATTGATATTAGCTTTGACTTTAATTTCAATATTTGTCTTTAAATATTTTATAAACGCTTAAGAGTTATTTAATAAACTAAATATAAAGTCAAATTAAGCAAATATTGTGGAAAATTAAGTAATCGCTTAAGAGAATGAAGTGAATTGTAAGGAAATACAATAATTGTTTCAAAAATATTTCAAACTGTCAAAAAATGTCGAAGACAAATTCAATTAACGATTTGACTTGTGTGTTTCAATGGAAAAAGTATTTTTTTTAGAAAGAATATTTAGAAATATTTTTATTAAATAATATAATTTTTCGGTTTCATATTTCTTAATGTATGTTTAAAAAATGCCAAAAACATGGAAGCACAAATTTTTCTCTAAAAAGTATACAGAGTATTCCCTCTAATTGTTTATTAGTTATGTTAGCAAAAAAGTTCATTTATTTTATATAAAATTTTAATTGGAACAATTAAAAATGAGTATGTCCTCTAGTAAATTTCGCTACATAAACACCTATTAGAGTTATTGCGAAGTCAGGATTGCAGTCAATTGTAAGTCAGGATCGATTATCTTCTGTGTCTAAACGATATGTTATAACCACTATTATCTTTCATTCTTATCCGTATAATATACTAGTTGGGTCTTCCATTATCTGTTTTTGTTCCTGGTTTAATAACAATTATTAAGCGGAATGCGTTACGGATGCAATAATCCCAACATTGCATATCAAACCTTCTGAAATAAAGTCACTAGGAACGGTATTAAGCTTAGCTGATGTCTGAAAAAGACACATTTTAACTTTTTATTCCAATTTTCTAAAACTATATGTTTTATAGTATGGAATTTATACATATCTATATAAAATTTATATATAAAATGTTATATTAATATAATTTACTTATTTAAATGTTAAAATAACTTTCAATGTAAATATCTACTTCGAATTATTTTTATATGTAATAGTGGTTAGTAGTGGTATAACTCTTTTGATACAAATATTATATAGATTGCTATCAACAAATTCTAAAAATGTTTATATTATTTGCTAGTGAGGTTATTCTACTGTAGAAGCTGAATAATATTTTGTTCAAATTTTGTCTTTCAAGTCAAAATATATAAGGAATAATTTCATGGAGCTATATATTACCTGCCTAAAAAGTGATATTGGATTGATTATAGGGTTTATTTTATGGAAATAAGAATGTACATTGTGGAACATTATTATAATATTATCAATTCTATCTAAGATACAGGAAGTTAAAATTGCAAATGTCTAAACTTTTTTGGTCAGATAAAGAGTTATTTGGTTTGTGATCCAATTTTGACAGTACTCTTTCAGCAACATATATTAAACAGAACTATGCTTTAGGACTTTAAGGATTGCCATTTTATATTATAAATCCTTTAACACCCAGTAAATGAAACTGTTTACCTTTATTACAAAAATGATGATGTTTTTTCTTCAATAATGAGGCTCATATTTCGCTTGGTGGATACGTCAGTAAACGAATTTGCTGCATCTAAGGAAGTAAAAATTCATAAGTAACCGGTAATAGACTATTAGATCCAAAAAAAAATCAAGGTATGGTGTGAAAATGATAAAAACGTAACAAAAACTATCAAACCTCATCACTACAGTGATATGATTACCAGTTTTCTTTGGCTAGAAATTAAGTCTATAGATTTGGAAGATATGTGGGTTAATGTGATTATTTAGACTGGAGTTATTTTATGGTATATGTTCTAATTTCGTCTAGAACTCTGAAAATATTAATGAATTATTATGCGTGAGCTATATTTTCAAAAATAAAAGTTATTCTTGGTTTTTATATTTTTAAGGCAAAGAAAAATTGTTATTTGTGCTTTTTAAAATGAAAAGCAACGTGTAAAGGCACATTATCATGTACCTTTTATTTTTTGTGCGTGAAAAAATAAAAAGCACATGATAATAATTATTTTTGATAGATATAATATAAAACAAATGTAATTATTATTTATTGAAAATTTAAATTTTATGATTTAAATGATTTAAAAGTAAGAAAAAAAATGCTTTATGTTGTTATATTTACAAGCTTCTTTTCTAATCTTTTATAATAAATTTGTACTTGTATAAAGTAGTACTTTTAAAAGGACTACCAAAAGATTAATAAAAAACTTGTTAATCGATTTATTTGATTGTCTAATACACTATATCAGTCAACAAACTGAAAACTCCAACAATAAATTGAGTTCGATTAGGTTAATTATGCCTTTCACTTGCAAACAATTAAGTACGATTGAGTACTAAAAATGGCATAAAATCAAAAAAAAAAAATAAATAAATAAAAAATACATAAAACACAATATTGTGTATGTTTTTCCGTATTTCTCAACTATAAAATTTTTTTAATAAAATTATTGTTTTTCTTTTTTCCAGGAGAATGGCACCTACCTATCTGCTCTGTTTTGTCGTGAACAGAATTGCAAGGGAATCGTCATTCCAGTGCAGACAAAAACTATGCAACCGGATTGGCGTTGTGTGACATGTGAAACTGTCTTCTCACATGCGAAAATGGCACGTTATCAGGACTTTGCGTTGAACACCATCAACAATCGCATCAATGCGAGCAGCGTACAGGAGATGATAAACTTCATCAATGAGTTATGTCCTCGCTTTTGTCCGCCGTCAAACTATGTATTGATTGAAGCAAAATTGAATGTGATTTGGCGTATGTCAAGATTTACTGATGTTGAGTACACACCAGAGGAACTGGAGCATTGTGAACGTTATCGCAGTGAAATACTCGAAGTACTTAAAAAATTGGGTGCAGGTGATTGCACTTTAAAGAGGCTTATTAGTGCGGAGATAGATTAAGAAAAGGAAACCATAAATCTCTATTTATGAGGTTTTGGAAAATAAATGTTTTATGCCCGAAAAATGTTGCAAATTTATAACGAGTAGTGATTTATGAGTAGTAATTCTTTATTATATACATATAAACTATATAGTATTTGTTTCTAAATAATAAAAATAATACTAATACTAAATCCAAATTAAATTATTTAAGGGAAGTGTGTTTATTTCTTTCAGAAATTGAGAAATGTTAATTATATTTGTTTATTAATGAAAATGTTGTATTTTTGTTATTTTAATTAGACGCATCCAACTTAATTGACATATTCCGACAGCTGTCAGAAGCGGCGTGGAGGACATGTTTTACAAAGTGGCAGCACAAATTTTACCATATTTTTCAAAGTTTTAAAGTTTTCTTTTTAAAAAAAACACATTGCAGAGATGCGTTTACTTTATGTATCTTGCGAAATTATTAATTTTTTTCTCTTTTTTTCAATTCAAAATCACACTAAAGGGTCGCTCTACACAATAATAAATAGATTCCCTTTCACACAGAGTAAGTCTATTTTCGGAACCCAATTATTCATGCAACTCTTGGAGATAGCAATTTATGCTTTAGTTTTGTATTCGGTCAGACAGAATTTCTATTTTTTTATATTCAAACCGCTCATTAATTGTATCTTCAAACATTTTCATTAACTAAATGTAATTTTCTATGACGTTTAAGTGTCTGCCGCTGCCAAAACTAAGCCGTTTGCACATTAAATTGGCTGAAAAGATTTCTATTTTCTGACAAGATGCGATCGTTCTAAAAAGACAAATTTTTAAAATTAAAATTCATTTATTAAAACGTTCGTTTCCTTCTATTTGTCTGAGATGACACAAATTTTATCGCGTATAAATAATTAATTTGACCCTAATTATAATACATAATCATATTCTGTGGTAGATATTTATGCAAAATAAATTAAATATAATTAAATAAAATATTTAAAATAATTAATTTAAATAAAAAAACGTAAATTTTAAATCATATTTTTTTTTAATTAAGCTTCCAATTGTGTTTTCGTTTATTTTTTTTTTATTTTAATGATTTTCTTTTATTTAAGACTATGAAACGCAAGGTTGAAATATTAATTTAATAATTTAACGAATAAATTTTTAGTTTAAATATACGATAGTTGTAAAGATATATATGTGAATCTTATATATATATATATTGTGAACAATTTTCATGTAAAAATTAAAACATACCAACTTATCAGTAAATTTTATTAAAATATATCGACGACGTTTTGGAATTCAAATGTAGTAGAACGATACGGTGTATGTTAAAGAACCATAAGTGACTATTTTGGAGCTCTTCGACATATGTGAAAATATATTTATCGTGTGTCCAATCACAGGTTATTATAACGAACTAACAATGGTGTTCATATTATGTGGTTCGAAAAAATAAGACTCGATTCAAATGAACGCGTGGACGCCAATGGCTGTGCATCTAAACCAATCGAAAGCAATCACGTAATATTCTTAAGCTTAAAGCGAAACTTTACATATTTCAAAGCCGATTCATTTTCGAATATAGATAACCTTGATGAATTATAGAAGCTGTTACGCCTGTATGTAGACGCCCCATTGCCAACAAATTTTTCAAATGAGCAATTTGTCAACAAAAAGGATTGTTAAGTTCTCTACAGTGAGAGATTATACGAAAATTTAGATATTAAAAAGGATTCAGAGTAATGGGTGTGCCCTCTCTAAAAAAAGCCACAGTAATAAACAATGGCGTTCTGTACCTCATTTCAACCATGGAATGGCTTTCACTGTTACCAGAATCAAGCAGGCCAAGGCTACACTGCAAAAATAAAAGTGTTGAGTGAAGTTTCATTAGGTGCACAATCATGAATCATACGACTCCTTTATCGACAAACTCAGAGTCATATTTTCCACTAAAGGGTGCTATATTTTTTCTCGTTGAATATTACTTGAGTTTGTGGTTTTGATTTTGTTATGATTCTGAAAGTTGACTTAAACAAAACATACTTTGTTTTGTTTGAGTTTTTAAATTTAAAATTTTTATTTCCAAATATTAGACACAGGTTGTTTGGTATGAAGTACACTATTCAAATGTCCTGTACGAGACATCCTATAGTACTGAGATCCTATAGTTATAGCTAGGATATAACGTGACGGTTATTTGTTTCTAAAGGGTCGTGAGTTTGAGGAAAGTCCGCTTCAATACAAGCTATTCCGTAAGCCTATAAAAAAATACAGTTATGCAGTTATTTTTAACACAATTTGAACACAGGTGTTAAACGATCCATATTGCAAAATGGCAAACTTGACATTTATTAAACGTAGAATATTTTCAATGTTAATATCTTTTAGTTATTGGCGAAAATAGAAGTTCAGTTAAACTGTGCTTTGTAAATACTTGCAAATGTGTTGTAAAAATGTGCAATGTAAAAATGATTAATTCGTATTTTGTATTTAATTCAAATAAATTCAATTCTATAAAAGTATTGTACCTTGTCACTATTTAAAATGCATTTGCAAAGCTAATGAGACGATGTGTAATTTTAATAGAATTTTAATTTGGTCTGACATAAATACAAGTGGAATAATTGAATACATTTTCACAAATATAATTTGCGTTACTTCGAAGTAAAAGTAAGAAAATAATATACTTTTAAAAAATTTAAGCTATAGAATCGAAACGTTTATATCTTGAGTTTAGTTTTTCTGTAAACCTCGGGAATGACACGCGCTTAGCAAACGAAGTATATTTTTGTGAGAAATTTTTTTGCGAAAGTCCTCACCACAGTGTTCAGAAAGATAGATAGATTTGTAATATATATAAAGCAAAAAAATTGAAAAAAATCAAATTGTTAATATTTAAAATAAATTCATACAAAAATGATTGCGGAGTTTTTTAAAGACAGTGAAATTTTTATTACCGGTGGTACGGGTAGGTGTTAAGAACTATACTTTTTATTATATCTAAGGACTACGTCTTTACGTTTAACGGTTAAATAAAATTATTAATTAAGTTATAAGCTTTTCTTTCTTCAACTACAAAAAAATTAAAAATATTTGTATCTATTAAATAACGGCTAAAATTAAAAAATGTCACAAAAAATAGATTAACAGCACAGTGGCTGTTTTTTATGCAGTTACTTTATTAATTAAATTTTATAATTGATTAAAATTAATGAAAACTAATCCAAGTATTATAAATAAATAAATATTAAATTCAAAATCTTAAAGGTGTTGTTGGTAAAGCGTTAATTGAAAAACTCCTTCGATCCTGCGATGTGAAAAGGATATATGTTTTGTTGCGTCCGAAAAAAGGACTAGACTTGAATCAACGTTTGGAGAAGCTACGTAACGCCAATGTAAGTTACCTTAGATCACATATTTTATATAATATATTTAAGTTACTATTTTAAAAAAAATTCATTACAAAAAATAACATTTGTAAAGGTTTTTAATGTGTTGAAAACAACTAATCCGGATGCTTTTGATAAATTATATGCAATCCCTGGTGATGTAACACTGCCATGCTTAGGGATTACTGAAGATCATAAAAAACTAATGGAAAATGTTTCAGTTGTATATCACAGTGCAGCCACTATACGATTCGACGAGCCAATGGAAGTTGCATTAAATTTAAACGTTGGTGGCACACTACAAACCCTAAAGTTTGCCGAATCTTTAAAAGACTTAAAATTATTTATGCACATATCAACTTTCTTTAGCAATCCACATTTGAAGTTCATAGAACCAAAGGTTTGTGATAATTAAAAATTTAAATATATTTTTAATTAGCTATATATTTTAGGTATACCCAGCACCTATCGATTGGAAAATATGTTTGGAGGCACTCAATAATAAAGACATTCTGAAAAACCTTAATTTCTTTTCTGATAAGTAAGTTTATGCTCTATAATTTTAAAAATTAAATGAAAATTAAATTATTAATTGATGAATGAAACATTTATTTATTAATTTTTAGAAGTTCTTAGATTTAAATTGATGTTTATCTTCACTTTAAATATATATAAATATATATGATTATAATACTGTAATACATTATAATAATAATAATAATATGTATTATTTAACTAAATTTAATATTTATTGCTTCACATAACATTAAACGTGTATCCAAGAATTAATGAACATTTTTTAATAGACGTATATTTCTTTTTTCTTTCTAAGTTTATTGCAGGGTATATAGCTACCCATTCTCTCTGATTTTTTTCACTTCATCTGTATATATACTGAGTTGTCGTCCTGGTAGTTCGTAGCGCACATAAATTTTTAATTCTATGGACTAATTTTTTATAGTCTTATAATCTGGTTCTTATAATGATTCTATTGCTTCTTTAAATTAGCGCAAACAAGTCTGTTCCTAATTACTTAATAACCGTTTCATTTATTATTCTTCGAATTGTTACAACTGACCCTCCTTTTAACAATTTTTCTGCTCTTACTATTACAGTTTTTCGTAATTGTTTCACAGTCATTGACATCAGCAGGATCAATAGATCCAATTATGGTTTCTCTAACCGAGTCTTTGAAGCACAGTTTATTAGTTACTGGTTGTGATGCTTGTCACGTTATAATAGCCATTTCATTCTATGGAACATTATTCGAATTTTTAAGCCCTTATCTTGACACAAACATTAGTATAATATATGTTCTTATGCGGAACAGTACTGTTCCGAATAACCTAGTGATAACCTAGTGATTCAATGTTTTTTAGAAAACGGTTGAAGGGCAATGAAAATTTTTAGGAAATTAGTGATTACATTAATTAGACCCAGTTCTTTAAAAACTATGGCTTATAATTGCACTGCTTTATTTAATTAAAAAGCAGTGCATTTATTATTAGTGAATTATTTTAAGTTGCTTAAGTAAATTATATTGTAAAGTCCTTTTTGTATTGAGTTTAACAAAAACACATCATTTAAATCTACTATTTCTGTCATTTAGGTTATCAGGTGGTTTTCCAAACACATACACATTCACAAAGAACCTGTCTGAGTCCTTAGTGAACGATTATCGTGATCGTTTACCAGTAGCCATATTTAAACCATCCGTAGGTAAATATCTTAAAAATGACTGTTACAAATCACCAAAGGTTTTGATACATTCACTAAAAATAATAAAATAATTCATATCATGTAGTCCTTTTCTCTGTGGAAGAACCAGAGCCAGGTTTTTCACCATCACTTATAGGTGCAATGGGAGTGTTTGCACTTGTAGCTGCTGGAATACTTAAAACGGTTTACATAAATAGAAGCATACCATTGGATATTACATTACAGGATATTGGAATAAAAGTACTACTTTACAACACTGTAGCAGCAAGCCGTATTTATGAAAAAGGGTAACCGATTACATTATAAATATTTATGTATATATCCATATCAAAAATAAAAATATGTATATTACAGAGTTCCAACAGAAACGCCCACTTATTTATCGTCTTCTTGTACGCACACTCCATTCACTTTTACAGAAATGTGTGAGGCTATGGATGATAATAAAGTTTGGGATATTGCGTCATTAGAACGCTCCTTTTTGATACCAGGTGTTTGTTATACTCAATCAAGATTACTGTACAAATTTTTGGTGAGATTACACGATTTTTGTATTTATCAATTTTATATAACAGTTTTTTATTATTTATAGGTGTTCACAAAAGAAGTCATACCATGTATGCTTGGAGATGTTTTGATTTCTGTCTTTGGTCATAAGCCGGCTCTGATGAGTAGTCTGCGAAAAGTTTATCATGCAATTGAAATTATGAAACCTTTCCTTTTCAATGGTTATACTTCTAGTGGTATAACAGATTTCGAAACTATATGCAAGGCGACAAAGGGGTATGAGCATTTTAATATATATAGCATGTTTATATAAAAGGTAAGATTCATTTTAGCACTGAGTTTGATGTGAATTGTTATAAAACATGTGCATATGACTATCCAAATTTGGTTGAATCGATTACAAAAATGGGTTATAAAATACGAGAAAATTTAATGCACCAAAATCCAAAGACACTACCAAAGGCTAGAAAAATCTTGCGCATGTAAGTAATTTGAGTATTTAATTTATTTAACCAAGATTTGTTTCTTATCTTAAATTTCTTTTTGGTTCCTATAGCAAGAAAAGAATTTACAGAATAATACAAATGTTTATGGCATATTATATGCTAAATTGGTTCTACAGCACCATTTACAATTTTATTAGTATAAATTTTTCAAACTCCAAATAAAAAGTTAAAATTTAAAATTTTTCTGTTTTACTGAAACATATACGAATACAATAGATTCTCATTCTCTAGAACTTCAAAAATTGATCAAATGAAATGTTCTTTAAGCTAAGATAATAGTCATGAAATAGTATTGATCCATAAATAATAAATGAATTAGTTTAAAGAAGTAAAAAATACGCTAATGTGATTATAACTATATACTAAAGGTTAGACTACGTTGCAGTGGCAACCTTTTGCACCAAAGCTCAATTGAGCATAAATAATGGGTCGGTTGAAAATCTATACATACGCTGGATCTGAAGAAACACCTTAATGTTCGAAATTTAAAGTGGAAGGGAACCAAACTGATAATGCTATGTTCATAAATTTAAAGTATGAAGGTTCTATCAATTCAGTTAGAAGAAAATAGAACCTACACTTTTTGAATCTTCTCTTAACCAATGCAGCAATGCTGTAGTATAGCTAATCACAATACTGGACAGAGCTACAGCCAAGATAAAAGTATTTAGAAAGAAGAACAAGTCACATTGCATGCCTTCCTAACACATAGTGACTTGTCAGCACCAATACCGTTGCACTGAATCGTTTTCGTTTTGTTTAAAATACTTACCTGGTACAATTTCTGTTCACGTTAAACCAATGAATCTAACGATCTGAAAGGAATCTTTATCTACCCTGACTTGTTTTGCAAGCCCTATAAAGGCTAATTTCGCAGTTGTTAGGGAAATCTTATTATCAGAGAAAGAACAGCATGTTTGCTTTGACAAATTTATCTGTTTTAGAGAGCGTAGACAACTCATTGAGAGAAGCCCAGAGAGTAACTGTAATGGCTATTAGAGATTTAATTGCAGTTTGGGTATACAAGAAAATCACAATATAAGGAGAAAGTACGGTGAGGATAATATTGGGAATAATTCAAAAAAATATTTGTAAATAGACTTGGTTATGTTATATATGATATAGAGTAATTTTTGTAGACATAGCTAGAATTGTTGATGGGTGTGTGTTCATTTTTACTGAACTCTTGTTTGGGTGTTCTTTGATGAATTTACAATGTGAATGATTTTCAATCCTGCATTCACGAAAAGATCAAGTGTGTTAGATAGGATGTAAGGATGTAAGTGTATAAATGCATTGCCGAAAAAATTCAACAATCTTAAGGTTGAAGATTTGAAAATGATACATAACCCAAGAAACCGTGGCAAATATAATTTTAATTACTTCTAAGAAACATTTTATAAAAGTTTTTAGTTTTTTGGACTAAATGTGAACAATAAAAGCAGAACTGAGTTTAATAGCTAAAGCTAAACTGTGATGATATATATTAAACCTAATCATTTGAAGTAGTTAACGATGTTCCAAAGCATGTCATATAACGAGCGTTGAAAAGAACTTAGTTAAGGTAGGTCGAGGCAAAGAAGGATGAATGATGTGTTAGATGGCTTTAACAGAATAGATGTGCGTGCTTAAATAGCCGTGGCACTGGATCAAAAGTAATGAAACTTATTGATTTTGAAACACTGGTCTATCAAGGACTAGTATTAGTATTATGAAAGCATGTAGCTTAAACTTGATATTTATTTTATTATTTTACCTTATTTTATTATTAAGTTTTAAAGAGAATTTTCTTCAAAGAAATAATTAAACGCTTTTTATATGTTGTTTTAAAAGAAAATATTATTTTATTTAATTTCTTTTAAAAAAATCTTTCTTCATGTATAATAAATCTATACTTAAATATATTGTATGTGAGTAAAAAGCTAATGTATATACAATTACATGGAATTCATTACATAACATATAATTTATTATAAATAATTACTAATTCAAAAGTTTATTAGAAAAAATTTTGTTGCGTATTATGGACAATAGAGATATTATAGTTTCGATATGCTATAAATGATTTCAAGTGTATTTGTGTATTTATTTTACATAAATAAATAGAAAATATATTTTTGAAAATGTTGAACATTTTTGTGAAATTTATAAAAGCATTTGTGACATTTGATCGATTTTCAAATTGTATATTAATTACGAATTAAATTAATTAAATATGCAAAGACAACGTTGGCTATTATGCAGATTTTAAGCATAATTACAAATACATTTATAATAAAAAAAAACAATTGCGTATACCTATTGCATGAAAAAGTTTACTATGTCTAATTAAATTCATTTTCGGATTAAATTATCTAATGAAAAGAAGAATTTATTTGCAAGTAAACATTTAAAATAAAATTATTTATTATATTATATTTATTATATTCTATTATTTAAAAATTCCTCATATGTGCTTAATTTTTAATTGAAAAGGCGAATATATCCCTATTTATGTCTGAACAAATACAATAATATTTACAACTAAACAATATTATCAAACTAAATTATTTAAATTTTAATATAAATTTTTTTATATATTACACGCACACAGATAATAATTTTATATATTTTCTCCCAAATACTTAATTTTATAATTTACAAAAATATTTCTTTTAAATATTATTTAACTTAAGATTAAAAATTTATAATAATTAAATTAGATTTACACAAAATAAATTTTAAATATTGCATTTTATTTGCATAAATTGCTTAATTTGACTATAACAAAAAATAAACCAATATATGTGAGGATGTAGGGGAAATAATATTATTATAACGAAGATATTTTGTGCAATTGAAACTAGCTTAAAGATAATTGTTGAGCATTTATTTGTTCAGCCTTTCTTTCATTGTACCGTTGAATTGGTGGTATGGCAAATAACATGACACCACTGATCGCAATCATGACACCAGCCATTATAAAAGCTGGACCGAATGATTCTGTAATATCGTATAACCATCCTATAATATATGACAGATTTCAATATATTGATTCTCAGTAAAGTTATGGGCAGTATTTAAAAGATAATCTCTTACCTCCAATTGGTGGGCCTATAAATGATGCTACACCTTGGAAGAGCAATAACAAACCAAAAGCATTTGTTAGTTTATCCAAACCCAATAGATCAACCAATATAACGGAAGTTAAACCCACATAGGCACCAATGGTGAAACCAAAAACAGCGCAGTAGAACATAAGCGAATTAATGTCAGTACACAGTGGACACAGAGCAGTGGCTACAATATAATTAAAAAAATATTAATTACTATTAATTAATAAATAAATTGTTATAGAATGTCTAATATACAATATATAAGTAATGATGTATTATATTATATAGTTATATATATAGTGTTAAGTTACTATATAAGATATAAAAAAATTTTTATTAGAGGATTTTTCAAATTTCACTATTTCAGTTTATTTAAATAAAAATATAAAGTTGAAGTAAATATGCCAATGCTAATATATAAATCAATTAATAATACTTATTAAAGTAAGTGTAAGTTAAAAAATATTAAAACGTCTTACCTATGCCACAAATTGTTAAGCAAACGTTATAAACCCATAATCGATTTACCCAAGGTTTGTCTGATATATAACCTAATATTATTCTGCCTACTGTATTAGCGATGCCAATTGTAGCTATCAGATAACTTGATTGTTCACTATCAAGTTTCAGTGTCTCGGCTTGTGATACTATATAAACGTAAGGCATATTGAAGCCGATGCTAGTGCAAAAGTTCGATGCAGCAAATAACAGAAAGATGACATCCTTCAAAAGTGAGAAATTCATCATTTCTGTAAGAGTATCTCTTGTTTCTTGTGAACAACTGACACAACCACAACATTTTTCATTTTCCTGTAAAAACAAATTGTAAAATAATTAATATTTAAAGTAATAAATCTAGTATGAATCAAAATAAAAGAATAAGTCTTAACTTTTAAAAATTTTTAACATATGGACTATGCATCCAATAGACAAACTACCTATAAGTTAACAGTATTTCCTTAGGCTGTAAACATAATAGAGTTGAAGATGCAGACAAATATAAAACATCAGTTTGATTACAAAATAATCCATCAAACTGATGAGTGTTCTTAGTGAAAATAAATCTGTTGTAATTTGTAAGAAGGACTCCAGAAAACAGATCGGTTAAAAGCTTCTACAAATAATTCTTCATCCAATCGCGAGGTTAGTTCGTATGGATTAATATTACGAAAATGTATACCGAACTAAAATCATTGAAGGCAGACCAATTATTGCATAATTAAATAAATGAAAAATACTTAATAACAACAATTAAAAAAAACGCAAGAAATTTATCCTCTAATTCTCTCTACACGCTTCTGCCGAAAACTTCCGGTTTATAATTCTATGATAGCATCCATATAGAGTGTTAGTATTGCCGGTCGAGAGAAAACCCTTCATACCATTTAATGCAAATCTTTGGAGTATTGCCTACTGGATCAATAGTAGTACATATTGGCTATGGTTATTCTTCATCTAATCTCCAGGCTGGTATTCTTGTTGTTCATGACGGTGAGACTACCAAGATAAATAGTATCAGAAATGGCAGAATCGAAGATATAGTTCCCAGCTTTCAGCTCGACTTCCGAGCGAATCACATTTTTGTCAGTAGATTTGACAAGTACTTTGTTTTGACCTTGTGTATCGCTAAGCCCATTTTTACAGATTCTTTTTCGATAGGAGCAAACGCAGCAGTTATATTATGTGTTCTACGCCCAATAAGATCGATGCATGTACGTAAGCAGTGAGCTGGACACATATGTAGAATATTGTGCCATTACGATGTAATACTGCACTGCTGCAGGGTATCATTCTCATGACGAAATTGAAGAGATCACACGATAAAGTAATTATCTTATTCTAAACCTTGGACGGTATCAAAAATTTAGAACAGATTGGATCTTATATTAAAGGACCTATGGGTACTGCTTAACCTCATATAGTCGAATTGTATTAACTTTGCAGGAAAACCGAGGTTAGAGACTGCGGTGCAAAAGCGACCTCTTCGAATGTTACTTTGTAATCATTAAAAATATCGTGGAACTCGATGTTATATTCGCTCATCAATATACAATATCTATCGCAGTGTGAATAGTTAATCAATGGTGGAGCGACCAAGTAGAAAGACGCACTGATATGTGGCTTTAACCTTTTAAATAGTATAGATAAAAGGACCGTGTACACGATAGATGTTAGGCTGATCTGGCAATAGTTGGAGTAAACCTATTTTTCTTTTCTCTTTCTTTCTCATCTTCCGATACTGTTCGTGTACAGCTGGCGTAGCTGCAGATTTTATAGGCCACATTATTTGTAGCAGTAGTCTAGCGGAACTCTTATTGCAGAATTAGTTTGGTTATGTAAAAGAATTAGTTTGGAGAATGTGAAAATCTAGTACATCGCATATAACAGCGCGTAACAGCGAGACTTGCGAAAGTAAATAGATAAGCGACAAGAAAAAACGTAATACCACATTAAAACATGTCTCAATAGCAAATAATGAAGAGCGTTGGTGCTTTGCTTTAAAAATGACAAAAGAGAAGGGAATTTTGAGTTTACAAGCAAAAAAACAGTTCAACGCTCAAATGTTGGATATGAACAAATACTATACCATATACGGTTTATATGATTTCCAATGTTTTCTTCACAACAGTACGAATATCATATCAAAACTAACACAGCAAGAAGAACACAACACAGGGACAAAAAGATTCTATACATTTTAATAGAACTTTTTAATATATTTAAATATACTCATAATATAAAGCTATGACATTTGCTCTGACCTTTACACGTCCGACTTTATTTCGCGTAATTCTGGGCCTATGTTTTGCCATTCTCTATGCATTAATGTTTTTTTAATTGGAACTTTGTATTTGACGACATCGAATTGCATTTAAAGAACTTCTAAAATGAAATGCTGAGTTCATTTGAGAACACCACACCAAATAGTAAACAACTATAAGTTTTGTGACCAGCTGCATAGAACAATACTTTGTATTTAATACTCGTATATATTATAATAACACAAGAAAAAAGAATCTGTTCAAGAAATATTTAAAGTTAAAGTTCAGATTGAAACGACTGACGAAACAAAAGCCAACATGATACCGGCATTCTATGACAATTGTGAAATATTTGTTACCGGCGGAACAGGTCAGTACTTTGATTTATACATCAATTTAATTATAATTAAGACACCTAGTAGACAACTAAACAGGTGTTATTTATTTTAGGTGCTCTAGGAAAATCGCTATTGGAGAAATTGTTAAGATCTTGCAATGTGGATCGCATTTATATCTTATTGCGTTCGAAAGGAACCCTAAATCTGGAACAACGTCTACAAAAACTCTGCAATGCCAAAGTAATAAACATATCCTTTATCCCATCATGCACTTATGACAAACAATTTATATGCTTATATATTTTAGATATTTCGTGTTTTAAAATCAACAAAACCAGATGCATTGAACAAACTTGTGCCCATAGCCGGTGATGCCATGAAGAAGGGATTGGATATTTCGGAAGACGATGTGAAGTTAATGGAAAATGTTTCCGTTGTTTTTCATTGTGCAGCTACTGTGCGCTTTGATGAAGAACTCACAACTTCCCTCAGACTAAATGTAGCTGGTACATTGGAAGTATTAAAGCTCGCTGAGAGTTTTAAGAATCTGAAATTATTCATGCACGTGTCAACGTTTTTTAGCAATCCGTACTTGAACTATGTGGAACCAAAGGTATAAGTCTGAATATATAATTATTTATTAGAAATATTTATTTAATTTTGATTTGGAACACAAATAGTTAATTTGAATATATATTTTCTATGATAATGTCTATTTTAATGATAATATTTCTTTATAAGGTTTACACTTCACCATTGAGTTGGAGAACATGCTTAAAGCTATTGGAAAACAATAATTCCAGTGAAGAATTGTCTTATATAACTAAAAAGTAATTAATATAGTTTTTATATTAAGATATATATACATATATAATTAGTTTTAAATTTTAGAGTAATTACTGGTTTTCCAAATACATATACATTTACAAAAAATATTGCGGAATCGTTAGTGGACGAGTGGCGCTATCGTTTGCCAATAGCGATTTTTAGACCATCTGTAGGTAATGACATTAATACATAAAACCTAATGTTTGTTATTCTATTCAACTTTTTTATATTGTATTAATTTGGTTTGGAGTTGAGTTAGTTATTATTTGCATATAACTTTAAAATATTTTTGGATAAACTAATCTAAAAATGATAATAATTCGACAAATATTGAGAAATTATTTTTTTGCCCTTTTGATATTCGGATTTTGTGATATTCTGGACATTTTATTAATTTAAAAATGTCCGGAATTATTAAAAAATCGTTAAACATTTTATCATAATATAATGCATAATAATACAAATACACAAATTTTCAAAATACGAATATTCATGTCAGACACGTATGATATTTAATTGATCATTCAAATCGATTTGTACCATATCATATCAAAACTAAAACAGCAAGAAGAAGAAGACAACACAGGGACAGCATGCTCCTTAATCAGCATGCGACTTTAAGATAATATGTATAGTGATGTATATATAGTGATGTTTATATGTAGTGATGTGCAATTATATATATATTCAAATACAATATATTCTACTAAAATTATATGCTAAATTTACAGTTCTAGCGTCAATAGAAGAACCAGAACCTGGTTTTCCACCATCGTTGATGGGGGCTATAGGTCTTTTCGTTATTAGTGGCGCTGGTATTCTTAATTGTATTTCTATGGCAAAAAACGAGCGGTTAGATATGACAGCATTGGATAATTGCACTAAGACTATGCTCTATTATGGAGTAAAAGCCTCCGAAATATATAAAACAAGGTGGGTTATTGCTATCATTTGGATGTCCCTGTATGAAGAAATTTGGTCAAAAACTATATGACACATTACTACTCTATTACTTTGCTTTCGCAGCGTACCAGACACAACACCCGTTTATGCAACTTCGTCCTCCAAACATTTACCATACGCTTTCAGCGCATTTCTTGAAGTAGTTAATGACTTCGGACTTCAAACATGTGTTTACGAGAAACAATTTATGCTACCTCACTTATCTGTAATAGATAATAGACTCGAATATAGAATATTAGTGAGTGATGTAAAATATTTATCATATGAAATGATGTTTTAACATCAATACGTGTAGGTTATATTGAAGCAAGTAGTTCCTGCTTTCTTGGGAGATGGATTGCTTCGTTTGTTTGGTTATAAGCCTGCATTACTAAGTGCTATACGAAAAGCGTACGTAACTTTGGAAGTACTACAACCGTTTGTGTTTAATACTTGGGATAGTCCAGGAGTAACAGACTATGAGCAAATGGTGGAGGACACAAAGGGGTAAGAAATTCATATCCATTTAACGTATAAATGTGTCTAACTTAGACTAAAAATAACTAACTAATTGATTACTGTTAATGCTTATGTATTTTGAGTATTTTGGTAAATTGATTGTTTTGTTATAAACTAAACACACTGTTAGAGTATTGGGATTGTAACCTGTAATTAATTGTAAATATTAATTTGACAATTAATTAATTAATTATATGTAAATAAATAAATATTAATTTGACATTTTGAAGAAGTACGGATGTTCTAAATTGCTTTTAAATACTGTTTTTAATTTTTTTTAAATGTTATTTTAGAACTGAATTTGATGTATCCAATAATACAATAGTGGCATATGATGTAGAGAATTTAAGGATCATGATGATAAGGTTGATGTATAAAGCTCGGGAAGTGTTGCTGAATGAAGATATTAGCACCTTACCCAGAAGTCGTAAAATATTAAAAATGTAAGTTACAACATATTAATTATAATATTGCATTTCTTTTTATCTTAATACGAACAACTATCAAAAATGATGATCACTCAAACTTTCAAGACATTCTAAAAACCCCATCGGATTATATGCTATTGTTATTAAAAGTACAAATATATAATAATAATAATATTAAAAAAAAAACTAGTAACTATATTCTATTTATTGAAGATAATTAATTAAATTCAACAATAACAAATAAATTTTCTTGTAATTTTTTTTCAGAAAAAGGTTTATTTATGACTTGCTGTGTTTCTATCTGTTTGTATATATCTTTAGAAAAGTATATCAGATAATATTCAATTATGTCTAATTAATTTATTTATTTTTTGAGAAAATAAATCCACAAATTTTTACAAATTATAAAATAATTGTATATATTTTAATTGTTTAAGCTCTACAAGAAACCCAAATATATGTATCTCCAAGGAAATTGTCCTTTTTTCGATAGTAGTATATTCTTACAGCTATGGAAATATTGAAGTATAAATTTATAATACATGACAATGATCTTTTGAGGCTGATTTTTGTCACATCAAACATTACTGGAAATCTAAACCTGGATATTATATCTATTAATATATTTGAGGGCTTCAATATCTAGCACATATCTGACACATGTAGAAATTTAAAAACCATTCTTGAGAGATTAAACATCTAAATTGACGTTTTAAGACCAAAAATTAGAGGCACTAGTTCTTGAGTTCTCTAGCTTGATTGCTTTTGTCAATAATTTTTTTTTATAATAAGAACAATTCACAACAACTACATGAATTTATGTTACACTGATTCATTATACAGATTCTATGCTAAATATTACAGAAATTCTTTTCGCCTGAGCTTTGAAGTAAATAACTTAGTTGAGTTAGTTCTTTATCGAACAGCTTGAAAAGTTTATTTATTTTGAGTAGTAACATCAAATATTTTGAGATTTTTAATTATTAAATAATTTTTGATCATAATAAACTTTAATTAAAAACTATTTTAAACATATACTTACTTGACTGTGGCTTATATGCGTGCTATGCTTTAGGGAACCATAACGTCTTATCGTGCCGGAACCATTAATATCTGTACGAGATCGTGCATATTCCGGTATATTCAATAAGGAACCCTAATTAAAAGCGTACAAATAAAAATAATATATTAAAAAAATTTTATAACTAAATAATAAAGACTTTTATGTGTTGAACTAATTATATAAAATATTTATGTGTTGAAGAAAACTTATTGTTAGCTGAGGGAAAATACATATATATAGCAAGCAAGCAATATATATATTGTAGAAAGTAATACCTAAGAATTTGTGTATACCTACACATATACACAGGTTATAAGGTACGTAAGTGCCCTGGTATATATGCTGACCAGTCGATCACATAGAAAATGATATCGAAAGTATATGCAGCGTCTATACATCAATGAATTAACATTGCCTAAGGTGAAAAAGTTATAGCGTTAAGGTCAATGTCGACCGTCTAAACGTTGAATCTATAGTCTAAACTATCCCTAGCCGTTTGTACATGAGATTGACACAAATTATTGAACACAAAATTTGATGACTTTGTAATATTTTCCAGAGCTCTAGGAAGGTTTAAGTCTACGACTGTCTGACGATCCCTCATTTGATATGTACTTACATAAGTGACTATACTAAATATCAAAATATACAGCGAATTTTAAAGAGAATTTCGAATTTCTTTGATATTGTACATATTATATGTTAAATCTATTATTTAAGAAGAGTACGTTAGTATGTCCCGCTAATTATTAAATAATTATATATTAAACTATAGAGTACTATTGTATTGTATATTAACGAGCTTGGAGGTTAATTCGACTTTGGTCCCTATTTATATGTACTTACATAAGTACTATATATATACATACTTACATCATATGTTACAAATATTTTGAATTTCTTTGAATTTCATATTTTGTTTTTATTTCAGAAATGTTATACTCCCGTTAATAAAAAATTAAAACTGGAACTATAAGTAAATGCATTGTATATCAACGAAATCCACTTATGGATTGTCTTTATTGAAATGTAGTTCTACCGAATTTTGTCGAATTAGGTTATTTAAATTATAAGAAAAAACCTTTTGAAAGTATTGTGTTTAATCATAATTGCAATTATAATTTCCGCTTATAATAGAAAATATCTTTAAAGAAGGAAATTAATTATTTAACAATTCTGCTTGGTATGGGTTCATGCAAGTTCATTAGTCGGTTGATCAATCAAATGGAATTGTACCATAACCACAACCTATTGATTAGATAGGGTAAACAAAATTTTAATAAAATATTTAATTATTTCCCCTCATTCAAAGATATTATATTAATTTATATATAATGTATACAGTAACTTTACTTAACGAATGTTGTTGGATATATAAGTGATATTTTCTTTAATCACTGTTATATTTAAAATATCATAAATAAAAATTCTACAAAATTAGTTAAATAAAGTTATTCTATTATTTGATACTTACACTTTATTTACAATACTTGATAAAAGAAGATTTAAATATAAAAGGTCACTTGTGTTATTACTTACTTGATATAAAATATCTGGTCGGTACATAGTACCGCTCGCAGACTTTTCTCTGTGAGTTTCCTTGAGCTGAATTGGTTCATTCAAATGGGGTTGACTAACAGCAGTTCGCATTAAGTCACTACTGTTACTGTTTTTTCTAGGCAAAGTGGAAGTTTCGGTTATGGCATGCACACTAATATTCGAGTTATTATTCTGTAGGGAAATACACAAATACAATTTTAAACAAAATACCAAAAATAGGAAATTAGGACTTTTTAAGCAGTTTTTAAAATAGATTAATAAACTGTTAGTCACACAACTTTTCCTTAGTTACATGTTTTTTTTTTTTGAATAGTTAAACACTTACGTGGTTAATTTGATAAGTATGTACCATACTATTTGAACGACATAGCCCGGTCTTCCCATTTTCTGGTAATTGCAAGTATTGTTCAGGTTGAACGTTACCATTCGCTTTTAAAGGTTTTAACTCTGCAACTGTTGTGTTGTTGTCAATTAAATCGGTTTTTTTTGATTTTGGTGGCTTTGGAGGTTCTAACGGTCGAAACATAGCACCAAATATAATGCAGTTAAGCACTATACCGCCGATGATGAGCATAGCACCACGCCAGCCGTAGGCATTGATAAGATGTTCGGTAAGTGGTGCAAATACAAATGTGCCGAAACCGGAACCACAGACAGCAATACCAGTGGCAAGAGAACGTTTTGTGTCGAAATAAGTGGTAACACTAAAGTCAAGCAAAAATTAAATTAATTACTTTTAAATTTTGTTACAATATAACATATTTATCATATTTTTTGTGTACTCTAATTATTATTTAATTATTGTATACATTTATAAAATATAATGTTAAGATATTTATTTTTGTTACCTTACAATTGCTGGTAGATAAATAAGTCCCAGACCCAGCCCAGTACCAAAACCAATTGTAATAATAAGTGTCGCTACATTTTGTGCAAAAACACTCAAAATTATGCAAATAGCAGCAAGTATAGAACCAGCTATAGTTACTGCTCGACAGCCATAGCGATTGACGAAGGAAGATGATATGGGTCCTAAGGTATATAAAGAAAATTAAAGTTTAAATCAATTTTTTTAAAAATTTATTTATGTATGCATTTGAAATTATTAAGTTCTTATGTACAAAAGTGCTCTACATTATATTAAATTCAAAATCTATATTCTTTATTCTTATTGTATATATACGTTCATTAGAAATTCATATGCCTTGAAATATGCAACGAAAGTTTCCTAATACCACGGAGACGTATAACACTTATAACACTTTTGTCAAGAAGTCTTTATCGTTTATTATATATGAATAGCTTGTGACTGACTTTATTAATATTTCTTTTTAATTATAAATGTTTATTCACTTTATGAATTTAATAATTTGTAACAAAACTTCATATTTGTAAAATTCAAATTAAATGCAATGTGGGATACAAATGTCACTCACTAACTCACACCAGCGCTTCAATTTCGAGAGGGCTAATGCTTGGCAGTTGCATTTTAAAAAATCTTTAAAAAACAAATTAGTAATAATCTTCAAATAGCGCTGATGATGGATATTTTGTGATATTCTTAATGCTTAAAACACCACTTAACAAGTGATTAGTTTAGTTTTAATATAGATCTAATTATCTATATTAAAATTTTATTATGTGTATTAAACAAACTTACCAGATGCAAAAGTAACACCAACCATAATAGATACAATCCACGCTGTATATCCTTTGCCTTCATTGAAATAATTAAGAAATTCATTGTAAAATAAACCAAAGGAATAAGTCATGCCATCAGCTAAAAAAAAAAGAAAACAAAATATTTTTTAAACTATTTTTAAAGATACAAATAAATTATTTTTTAACTTTTTATTAGTCCATCTAAAAAGCCTTCGAGCAAACTATGTTAGATTGATGGATATGGATAGGCTTTGAATATTTATCTCAATTATTTATTACAACCCATGTGCAATATTTCATAATAGTAAGGGAATTAATAGCTCTTTTAATTAAGTGTTCAAAACACCTATGGTAGAATATACATAGATGTTTAATGGATTTAAATATGGTAAATAACATAATTAACATCATTGGTAATATGAAGTTTCTATCTACTAGTAAAGACTGGCACGAATTTGCGAATTTAATAACTGAGACTCTGACTTTCTAATCTTCACATTTTTGTGTTTATAATATTTATAATTATCTAGATAATCATGCTTATCTTTTTATTAAATGTTGCACTGTGGTCTGAATTCAGATTCACTGCACAAATGCAAGGAGCTTTTTTTGCACTAAATTTATTATAAGATAATTATTTTCTTACGTACTTTGATAAAAGTCAGACTTTTTCTAAATTAATCTCCTGATACTCTCAGGACCGTTAAATTGAAGCAGAGTTTTACCTCTCATAATCTGTAGTTTATACAAATAATTAATCAAACTAAAGTATAAATGTATGTCATTTATTACGACTGTCATAGCTGTTCATTAGACGAAGACGAGGGAAATGTCACTCATAACATAGTCGAGTACTCATTAGAAGTGCTCCTTTTATTAGAACATTTTATTTAAAGTTTCTTAAAGCAGTCATTATGATTTAAAACTGTGTTATTACAACAGATTCACTTATCAGTGTCTGAAAGACTAATAACGAGACTGACTACCACTGCTATAAACTTCTATTGTGCCTCACAACTGGAGTATCACAAAAGACCTATTTTTCAGTACTTTTCAGTACCTCTGTTGTATGTAATATACATTGATCCTTCATCTAACATAATATATAATAAAAGTATATCAAAAGTGACAATATTCAATTTTCTCTTTAGTAATCTTACCATCCTAGATGATGGTTTCGAATGAATTACACAATTCGAGAGATGTTTTCTTCTTCAACTTAGTCTTAATGGTGTCATGATTGAGATGTTTCGTTATCAACCGTGCCTCATAGATGATTTGTATACTTTAATGACAACAGAAGTAAACCGAATGAAAGTATAACAATTTGATAAGATGGTTTTAAGAATTACATGACGTTGGTGTTGTTATTGTTGCTTCCTAGTAATATTTTCGCTATTTTTAATATTTGCTGATTATAACATTAATAATTACAAATATTTATTTTAATATTATACTCAAACAAACAGTAGTACTTAGTATAGTTATAATAATTTTTAAACTTAATTGATAAGATTGTCTAAATGGGTTGAAGAAGTAAAATTATTTGCTCGAGAATTTTTTTTCGAATACTTTCACTTCAAATGTCTGCGAGTTTATCTCTTCTTTGGTGATTGAAGTGATTAGCTTAAAACTTAATTTTCTGATTTTCTTTGAAATTCTAATATCTGGAATATTTTTGATTAAATAGTCAATAAATCTAACTTAGACAAGCTTCATAAAAAGTTAACCATAAAATAACTGCTACCTGAGCATGTTTACAGCTTTCGCCTTATCAGAAATAAAAATTATTTCCAAAAGTTGAAGTACAAGGAAACGAATATAAATTACAAGAAAAATAATACTTTTATTTATACATAAATAAAAACACGTGTTTATTGCGATATTAAATTTATTTATTGCAAAAAATTTTCCATTCTGTAACTGTATTTTATGCATTATACAATTTGATATATTGAATCAGGTCTGCTGCTCTGAGGTTGAGATACTTTCACCTATACGAGTACAAGGGTGATAAGGGTTATTAGCATTATTTTATTAATTTAATTAATTTTTATTAGTTTGTTTTTGTTGCTAATATTTGATGTTTTGATAAATCAGATCATTGGCATATAATTAACTTACAACAAAATTTTGTAAATAAGTATCAGCAGTTTTTGTGTAACCGCCAAGGCTATAAATTCAAAGTAACTATTAACTGTGGCTTATGACGCTACTTTTGGATACAAATTCTATTAGTGAACATTCACCTAACTTTCACATATTTTGAAACTCAAGAGCTGGTATTTCTAAAATTTTCTGGTGTTACTGACAGATAATAATGCATGATCGCCATGAACCCCATGAGTCAATTGTCATGTTACCAACACCAAATTTAGATACGATAGGTAGTAGCTTTGCCAATACTTAATGCGGTCCTGAACTTAATTTACTAAAAACGAAAATTTGTACTTTAAGTGTAGCCGTATAATAAGCAATATTAGTTCCAACATGAGACAAATCTACATAACCAAGACTGCGTAAAATATTCTTACCAGAGTTATTTTTTAAAAATTTGGGCTATTTCTTATTTTATTAAAAGTGTTACTTAGTACTGTTATACTTCTAATACTGAACCCATAGAATAACCTGTTGGATATCGTCAACGAATATAATTTTGTAGCTGAAAAATTAATCATCAATTACTTAATTAAAAAACAATTAATTAATTAATTAAGCAAAAGTTGACGCTTTATACGTCAGTTATTTGATTAATAAATGAACGTCATATAACATTCATACTTTTACAAAATATATAATCGTAGATTCTGGTACAAATCGTCATCAGTACCGGTTGTGTTTTGATTATAAGGTCCTAATACGTAAAGGTTAAATATCACAACTGATCACCACTTCTGACATAAACAGGTTCTCAATATAATTATTCGGAAATGTGACTTCTGAATTTTGATCAAATTTTCAACCAAATCCATCAAATTTCTTTCTATAATTAAAGTATATATGGTATTAACAGTTTTTTTGTTGTTACGTTGATAAGTAATAATTACCAAAAAAGTATACTATTTTTTCATTTATGTTTTATTTAAAATGTAGGAATATTTTATAAAAATTATTTTTAAAAAAAAAAAAAGAAAACAAATCCGTTTCTCACCATGTTTCGCATAGCAAATCTTACTACTTTAAAGCCAAAAACCTTGGGACTGTAAGTGGATTAAGGATTTACATAGCATTTTACTTCAATTCGAAGTTTCGGTGTTAAGTAATTAAAACAAGCGGAAAATAATTTTCCGTTTGAGAGAAAAACTTATTTTATGCCTTGTTAGTTTTCTCAAAGGTTACAGAAATCCTTTCGCCTTAATTTGCTATTCGCAAAACAGATATTTAAATTCAGCGAAACGAAACTCAATCCCTTTTGTAAATTCAAATCTTTAAACATCAGCATGAAGTAAACGCTTGAAGTATGGGGTAATCGTAAATATTTTGAATATTTCATAGCATATACTATAATAAAAAAAATATGTTTAAATATTTATTAATCGAAATTAATAAATAACACTAACACTTTGCTAGTAATTATCATTACTAGTGATTTTATAATAACTATAGGGAAGACAAAGAAGGTGGACAGTAGAATCAGATTTGTCATAATCAAAATAGTTATATATTGGAAATCTCTTTAGTTAAACTAACCACATAAACATAATATATCTTCATAATATCAATCAATGGGAACATTTCTGACTATATGAACACCATTCTTAGACTGACGGGCCACAGGTGGCATAAACAGTAGTTATATTATACATATGACATAACCCACCCATCCATAACCCATTGAAAAAAAACTTACAACTTACAACTCTTGCTCGTCTCTTAATAGAATTACAGCACTGTTAGGACACTCTTTAAAAGGGAAATTTATCAGTCAACTAAACTATTAACAACTACTACCTTAGTTGCGATTTAGAGAAGAGAAGAAAAATCTCACTTATCTACTCTTTGACTGCTCGGTATACATCCAAAAATTTTAGTTTAGAGTCTCACATTCTCAAGTATCTATCCGATATCATCAGTTTAGGAATTAAACATATTGCTCGTTTCATTAAAGTGACTTTATTTATGTAAACTTTTTCAAGTTGGCTAGCCTGTCTCAAGTTTCTTGTTTGTCGTTTTAAAGTACCTACTTTACTTGATCTGATTTAGTCACATCTTTTATAAGACTTCTCTGCCACTTATATCACCACACTAAGTAGGTAGTTATATCCAAAGAACTAACTTCAACTGACACCGATCAAAATATTTCAATGAATAGTTTATCGGTGAATTAGATACATTTTCTCACTATGGTATTAGACCTTAACGATAGGTAATCACGTTATGAAACTTTGTACTATCTGTTAACTATCTGTTAAATACCAGTAGATATATGTAGCAGCTATTGTGCTATAGTTTAAAAAAAGAACGTTTTGCCGGTATAACATAACCGACTATATTGGAAAAATTCAGATATTGGAAATCCTGGCATATTTAAGTCTCATATATCTAACAGTATAAAATTCTACAACTTTTTTAAACCTGTCATTACTTATAAGATATTCTGTTTATTTTTATAGTTAAATAGAAACTAGAAGAAATTGAAAAATATTAAAAATGATTTATTTTTTATATTAAGAAAATGATGTTAGAAGATATTACTGAAGTTATGTTAAAAATGGAATGTAATATATAATGTACTTACTTATAATGTGTATCATAAACGAGCCGAACACAACCATCCAACCCCAGCCGCCATCTGGTGGTATAGGTTGATTTATTGTTGTGTCTTCGACCAAATCACAGTGAGACTTTACAAGTCCATTGCCATTGGATTGTGACTTTCTGCGTGCAGGTGGACCGTGAACCATTTTGTACTTAAGGTTTTGTATTAAAAATTATTTTTTGATAAAAAATCTTAATTTATTTTGTTTTAAAAATTAAATGACGCGACTTATAAAAGGAATGTAAGCGTTTTAAAAATTATTTAATTTTAATTATAATTAGAAAATATTTAAATAAAAATAAGATTTCAAAAAACGTAAAAAGAAACTAAATATGAAATATCACAATCTTCAAGAATTTGACTACATTTGTTGTTAAAAAACGAAACTAAGGAAAAGTGTTTTGTTACTCCGGTCTCATGTTGCTTCGACCTTGCTGACGTCACAGTGCAATTGTGTTGATGTTGATTTCTGTAAAGTGAAAAAGATACGAAATGTTGTTAAAGAAATTTTACGAAAAAAGAATATACAAAATATTTTTAAAATCTATTTGAGTTTCTTCCTCCTTGAACTCATAGAAATCAATGAGGCGTTGCTGAATTTATTTCCAATAAGTCAACGATGATTCTAATGCAATTGAATTCAACTGCAGTGATGTTACTGACATATTTGTAATGATTTTTGAAGTTGTTTTCATATCTCAATTATTTGTTAGATAAACATATACAGGCTAAAATGTCAAATTAAATTGGATTTAAAGTTATCAATTATTAAAAACTGTTTTGTGCATCTAGCCAAGTGCATCTCCAGAAATTAATTGTAATATCACTCGCATTGCAAATTGCAAGATGTCAGTTCATATAAATTGCACAATTTAAATGTGTCAAAATTAATACTGTATTAAGTAGACCTTTCTGCACTTTTCACAGCTCACAAGTTATATATATATGTAGATAGATATATGTATATTATATATAATTATTTCAATATCATTTTTGGATTATGGCGCCGCACATGCATGAAATTTTTTTGCCTTCTGCCTTCATTTCAGAAATATATGAATTTTTTGCTTAGATTGCAGTTGGACTTATCATTGCTTTGTCACTAATTATCACACATTCAACTGATATTCCATAAGCACTTTTCGTTGATTTTTGCGCTACATAAAGAAATCTGTCGAAAGTCATTAAACTTCATAAAATTTCTTGCTGGATCGCATTGATTGCTCAGCGTATAAATGTTCAGAGGTTCAGTCATATAATCGTATATCAAATTTTTATTACCTAATTTTGATTATAAAATATATATTTATATATAAAATACACAAATTCAATTAAAAAAATTTCTATTTATTGCTTGGGTTTTCATTTCAAGCATCTAATTAAGAAATTCTGTTTAAATGATTAGAGCAGACAATCAACTTGTAAGTAAAAATCAAATGTGTGAGTGCAGTAAATTGACTTTTTATTCTTAACAAAAAAAATCTAATTATTTTATTAAATTTTTTCTATATTAAATATTTTGAAGTAAAGTATTAAATCTAATTCATAGGGAATTTTGTTTAATTTTCTAAGAAATCTAGAGAAAATCTAAAGATTAAAACGATATGGATTGACGTTTGTTTGCTTATGATAGGATCTATTAAGTTGAAGTTTCTATGCAATTTCTAGTCACCTTAATCGAAACTGAAATATACGTAAATAAATATATGAAGATGACTGTAAATAATATAAAAAATATTATCAATACGTACAGCTTTGTTATTAGCAACAAGTTTTGCTACAAATACACTACAAATGCATTTATATGCGTACTTCGACTATCCTCAAACTATACTTCTTTGATTATTTAACAGAGTTTTAAAATGTTTAGGTTTTTTGATTGCAAATATTCAATTTAAGTTAGTTAGTTAGTTGTGATGGAGGGAGAACGAGTTCTCCTCAATTAGCTAAAAGAGCCGTTTTGAATCCAGAATCACGTCAAGCTAAAACCGGCCAGAGGCATTTATATAGACATGAATCTGACCAATGCTAATGCTAGAGATATCGCCGAGTGTGTTGAAGAAAGAGGTCCTCAGAAACTTAAGCCTAGTTCTGGCCAAACCTGGATATAGACACATCGGGTGTTCTGGTGTCCTTTCTTCGAGAACTGATGATTCAATTTCAATTTTACAAAGAATATAACGAGAAATCTGTGACTGGTTCCATTAATGTGTATAAAGAAAGTTTTAGTAATATACATACAAGACATACGATATTCATAGTGCCATTTTGTTATATACCTGAACACGATATATAAAAGAAAGATTGCTAATAATATTTAATTATTACCTTATTAAACATATATCATATCTTATAAAGGTTTATGCAGCTGCCTCAAAATTAATGACAAATGCAATCGGACATTTGAACTTTAATGTATCTAATCATCTGTATCTATTACAACATCATCTAAACTGTAGAAATAGAGTAAACTTATTTACAAACTATTTCAGTTTTATTATAAAATAAGTTAATTATATGTCATTTATGGTAGTAAAAATCACTGTCATTTAAACATATATTAGTTATCAGTAGAATTATTAAACTTTTTTCAACAAATATTTTATTTTAACGTTTATTCTTTGTTTTTGCTTCCTTTTTAGTGCTGTTAGTTGGCACCTTTTCTATTTGATTTGCTTCTTTATTATTTTTATTGGCATTTTGACTTGGAATCATTTTAATGAAAATTTTTAAGCTGTACTTAATTAAGTGATGAGAATCGGTTCACTTCAAACTTTCATATAACTTCAATTTATTAGGATATTTCATTTGTAGTGTGAAATTTTCAACGTTTCATTTTTTTTGACAGTGTATGATTTTTTAAAAGTATGTATTATTTACTTATGTTGTAAAAAACTTTCGTTAAATTAAATAAAAAAGTTTTGTTTGGTTTTTTATTTATATATATTCATTTTAAATATTTATTTTCTATATAAATATACAAAATATAAATAAAAAGCCAACCAACAGTTATTTCTTCAGATTTACAAGAGCTTTTAAAGCTATAAATTCCAATTTCTTTTCAATTAAGTTAGAATTATTGAAAACCTATAGTAATTTGATGATTTCTTTAATTTTAACATTTTAAATTCGTATTGAATATATGAGATTTTCTTAGAAGTCAAAAATATGTAAATATCTGATATAATATATAATATTTTGAATTTTAGTACTAAAGTATCTATGACCTTACAAATATTTCACTTAGCTACAAGACTTTATCTATCCTACATTTACTTTAAGTTTATTAATCTATAAAGATTACTCGTAGAGATTTTAGAACTTATTAAAAAACACTTCATAAATAATGAAATCATGTTTTCTTCAAATGCTGTTTTGATATTGATAAGTACAACTTTTACGATTTTAATTGCGAAATTGCTTAAGTGGTTGGTATAAATTTAAATTAAACAACAAAATAGTTATAAATTAGATCGGCGAACATTAGCCAATTGTTGCTATAGAAAGATTATTAGTTAATATTTTTTGAAAGGTATTCATAAATAAATTTTGTTTTCAAATAAACAAAGGTCAGTCCAGTATTGAAAGGTGAAGTAGAAAACCGGTACAAATATTGTAACATCTATGAAGTCACAACATATTTGGTGGGTAGTTCATATCTGCAGAATGCCAGAAAAGATATTGAAGATTCAGTGTAATTTTCATTTTATTTATATTATATTTATTATGAGTATATATATTATAAAAATATATATGAAAGAAGTATCAATACAAATATAAAAAGGAAATAAAATAATGTCAATATAGTATATATAGTCATTCTGTAGCTATCTGTATAATTCAGTTTTTATTTTTAATTAACAACAACTGTGGATAGTAGTTTTATTATCTGTTAAATGGGCGTGTTTGTTTTAATCGCATTTGCGTGTGTGCATCATACGTCTTAATCGGCTCTAATCAAATCATTTAAGAAAACAAATTTTTCCGCTAATTTCTTTAAAACCGGAAATGAGCGTAGCTTTGATGTTTCAGTTTTTTCACAAATATTTTTTGTTATTTTGAACTATCTATTTTAGTGAGATTCATGACAATGTCGGCTTTATTTCTGTGTTATTAAACTCAAATTAATCAGCATAAAAATGTTGATGTATATTGAATCAAAACAAATCAAAACGCACATTTAATTTAGTCCGACAACATCTTTGAGTCTATTTTTATTTTAGTGAATCTTAATTGTACAATTAACCTCAACATAGATACTCCTCTGATGCCTCACCCACCAAGCAGTATTATCTAAATAGGCTCGTATCGGGTTCAACAGTTTGAACTCTACTGAATATTTGATTTCGGTTTGAATTCCAGCTTTGCAGTTAACGTGCAGATTTCTCTATCACATGTTTAACCTTGAAAGAAAAGAACACAGCGTGAGGGGCGGATTATTGCCTGGTTTCTAATTGATTCCAAGTGCCAAAATGGAGGACTTCGTCAGCGCAGTAACACATGAAGACAAGCTGTTTGTGCATGTGACTAGAAGTGATATGTTCGCATGAGGCCGATTCAAAATTGATTAATTAAAATAATTCTTTTATGATTTGATTATGCAGCAAATGAATTTATTCCTATAGATTTTATTGTACTTTAATCACTGAAAGAGTGTGACTAAAGACATTGTTGATTTTTATGACTCATTAAAATTTTATTGCCATTTTAAAGTTTCACAATTAGACTTTGAGCACACTTATTCCATACAAAATTCATTGAGAATTTATTTTTATTTTACGAGTATTAATAAAATTTATTTATAAAAATATTCTATTAGAAAAACCATTAAAAGTATTAAATTTAATTTACAGAATTTGGTATAATTATTGTAACCTTTTTTCTTATTTATATTTAGCATTATATATATAATTTCTTTAAAATAAAAAATATTGCTTTAAAGATAGCTTCAAATTCGTTTATAAACAAATATAATGAAAGGAAAGTATCATTAATAATTAATGAATTATTAAATCAAGAAATTAAATTAATCATTACACCAAAATTTATTATTATATAAAAAAAGAACAGTGTGATTTTAGTTTAAATCCAACAAAAATTTTATCATTCTTATTACTGCCATAAAAAACAATAACACCGTTAGCCTGAACATCACAGGAAGAATTGCAATTACCAATAAGTACTTTCTTTGGATCTGGATGCCTAGATCTCTCTCTAGATCATGTAAGCTT